ACAGTACAGTACAGTACAGTGGAGAACACTAACCTAGGTTGGGGGGGAGGTTATTGTTTTGAGGGAGAGTCCCCCTCCATAAGGACATTGGGGAGATCTCTTTCAGGGGTTTCCTCTCTTCTTTGTCTCTTAGCTGCAGGATCAATTTTGGTGAAAAATCTGTCTATAGTCACTTGAGCTGCATAATCCTCCAGAAATGAGAGACCACATTATCGTTCATAAGATTCAACACTCTGTTCGTTATAATTATGTTGGGGTGGTGCTTCTCAAAAGAAATCCTGGCACTCATTCCATTTTTTCATAATGGATTGTATCACATCACTGCTAACCTCCTCCCTGTCTTCCTCTTCCTCAGTGGAATCCTCCTCAGCAAGTGCCTTCTGCTGCTCACTCTGGAGTTCAGCAAGTTCTTCTGTCGTCAGCTCCTCTATGTCTTCCCTGCATGAACGCAACTGCGATTGTGGCCATCTCCTCACTCAGGGGTGGAGATGGGGAGATGGCCGCAATTGTGCTGGTTGGGCGGCGGGGGGGGGGGATGGCCGAGATTGCACCTGTCTTTCCTGCAGGAGTGCGCCCGTGATCACGCACATCTTCCCTGCACAAATGCAACTGCAATCGTGGCCCTCTTCCCACTCAGGCGGGTGGGGAGATGGCTGCAATCTTGGCTGCCACCCAATGCGGAGTTCACAACCCAAGTCAAAATTTTCATGAAATTTTTGTTCGTGACCCAATTTGGTTATGTACCAAGGCATTCGTGAGCTGAGGCACCACTGTTTATTTGTCAAACTTTGCTTATTTAAGTTTCACTTTAATATCCCATCAGAAAGAATCTGAAAACACTCTGCTAGGTCTTCCACTTCAATTGGTTTAGATGAAATGTTATATGTGATTACTAATATTTTTTCAATATTTTGCTGGATAATTATTATTGGAGAAAAAATTATAAATACACAGATGTAAAAGCAAAAAAATATAAGTGGAGCATTAAAAGATTTTACTCTTATTTGTCCAACATGTCTCAGGGACAATGGAGCAATTGTTCTCAAGGAGTATCACTGGCATTCTCAGAAAGGACCAACTGGATGCACTGCAGGAAGACAAAGCTTCCAAAAGCAGCCCCGGAAACAAACAGAAAATCTTATTTCAAGAATGAGACAGGTCAGCAAAACTCCTATTTCAGAAATTTCTGCTTGTTTTTATTTAAGGATCTTTTAGCTTCCTGTAATTTGTGAGGGGAGCAAGGCAGATATGAAGCTGCAAGGGAACTGGCATAAATTGCTTCCTTGTCCACTTCTAATAGCGGGAACATCTCATGAGCAGGTCTTAACCAAATGAGGGAAAACAATGACACCAAGAAAAAGAAAAAGGCAGTATCCAATCCCAGCACTAGAACAATGGGAAGCTAGTACTTCCTGAAAAAAGCTGGAGGAGCAACAAACTGCACACTAAGCCCTACCACCTTGTTTGAAAAAAACAGAGAGCAGGCATGGGTTCCAAAAAGTCCCACTGGCTAGTCTTATGCCATGGTATTTGCTGCAGCAGGAGAGCAAGTCCAGCAGGGGACTCTGGAGCAGTCACCAGAGGCACTACAGGGGGTTTCCACAGCACCCTCCAGTTCCATTCTTCTGTTGTGGTAAATGCTGCAGTGAAAAAGGAGCCAATGCTGCCTGCCTTCCCTTTTGTTCTGAGATTCTCAGAATAAAACTAAGGATGTGCATCTGCTCTTGCCTACCTGCCTTCACACCTTCATCCTCTCACAGCATGTGCCAGAGAGTAAGCATGTTCGCTGCAAACTGGCCAGGCCCAAATGCCTGTCTTTGGGGTGAACTTTTCTCTGAGCCAGGTGTTGTGAGACAACTTTCCCAGATCACATGTGATAAAGAGACAAGTATTTAGGACTTGCCAGCTCTCCAAAGAGCCATACCAGGTACTTTCTCTGGGCAACACTGCTCTCCAGAAATCCTTGTCTACACTCTGGCTCACATTGAGAGCATTCTCTGTGTGAGCCAGCTGGTGGGTGTCAAGAATGGAGCAGGGTGGACAATGCAGCAGCAGCAGGTTGGGAACAAGTGATCCAATGAAGTGAATGTTCTTTTGCCTCAAATGGCATTAGAGTTTGCACTGGAAGTAGAAGAGAGCTCTGGTGACTTGTCCTGTTCCAGGAACAAGCATTCTTTCCTCTAAGAAGCTGTAAATAATTCTTATTTATTTTGCTTTATACCAAATGCCATGGTGAGCATACCATTCTAAGCATTCATCAAACTAGATTTTATTTCTTTTAGTTTCTGATATGCTATGCATTCCTTTTAATATACTTCTGTTGTATTCTTCTTCCATTTCCTACCCAAGCATTGTCTCCATCTTCCATTCTCTCACCATTTTCAGAGGAATCTAATGTTCATTTCTATTTTTGACTAGAGCCAATCTTGCCCCTTATACCTACTTTACCACTTACTGTGAAGCAACCTATTTTTTCTCATCTAATCTGAACCTTTAAAATTTTCATAGAAACCAAATCCACCATGTTTCCTTAGGTTGCAAAATACAGATAGTACACACAATTAGGATATACAATTTTTAGTCCAAAACCTACCTTGGCTGCATATTGTTCCAAAGCAGAGATAGTATCTGGATCTATGGTAGCATCTCCTGTATGAAGACCTGCCACTGTACCATCAGCCTGAATAGCTAAGATGGTATCTGATTGTGGCACCTGCACAGTATGGTGAATATAAGCAGTGGTTCCATCTTCCAGCTGTACTGCTTGTAGGGCACTCTGGTCGTAACTGTCTGATAAATTATTTCAAATACTATTAAGTCACAGACCAAATTTGCATGTGAATTTATTTTAAAAGAGGGGCACAAGTAATGCTGATACAAAATCTCTATTCCCTTCAACCATATGGAATGTATGTATGAATGCTGATGCAGTTGACAATTTCTTATACAATGTTTAATGCTGTTTTTTGAAAAAAGTGTGTATTAGTAGGACTAGATTTAAATCATGGTTTTCTACATAATTTGCACGCATGCCTGCCTTACCAGAAGGGAGAAGAACTTCATTAAAATATTCCCAAACTGGGTTACTTTCATGGCCTGCTGTCATTATAGGTTTTCTCCTCCAGGAAAAGAATAATATGATAAACCTCAGGCTATGCACAAAAAGATTCAAAGACTTGTGGAGTGTTCTGCTCGAAAGGGTTCACTTTCATTTCTACTGCTTGCCCCTCCCTCCTCACACTTAGCTTCTTGTGCAGATCTATTCCACTTCCAACAATCTTCTTCTATTCTATTCTATTCTATTCTATTCTATTCTATTCATTGAATTTTTTGAAACTTAGCACTTAAGAGGTAAGGGGTTGATTCTGTGTACATAGACTTTCAAATGAACAATGGGATTAAGGTCTTTTTCTCAACTCTGTATGTTTATTTTATAAATTTTTTGCTGTGAAGAAGAGGCATGTGATCTGTGCAGACACAAATTCAGTCTTGAGAACAGAAAAACCAAGCATCTATTATACTATCTTCTAGACAAAAAAATATCCAATAATCTTACAGAAACTCTGAAAGAGCATGACATTGTGAATGGATTAATAAAATACATTTAGCAAAAAAAAAAACATTGTATGAATATACCTCATGCTACAATATATCTCAAATAGAAAGCTAACTTTAGATAGAACTTTCTTCAAAAAGCATTTTATTTTTTAAAAATCCAATTTAAATAAAAACCTGACTTACATTTTTAAAATCCATTTTTAAATCTTTGATTTTTATCCACCTTGGGTCATAGTGTAAAATATATCATTCAATATTTTAACAAAATTTTATCCTTATTAGGTGGACTGGATCCAGACTATCCAGGGATGGGATTTCACACACAAGACTTTGACTGAGGGAAAGGGTGCAATTTTCACCAACCCCATTTCCTTTTGAGGCCTACGCTGCGCATCAAGCCCCATTGGTGTGTGATTTGCATGGAGACCACAAAGAAGAAATGGCAATTACTTAAATTAGTGGAAAACTGATCACAAGCCAAAATATAATTTACCTTTTGATGTGTGATGAATGAAAGCTGTGGTTCCATCTTCAAGCTGAACTGCCTGCCCATCTTCTAAACGAAGACTATCTCCTGCATCAGGAAAAAAAATGTCACTTTAGTAACATAGTGCATTCACGAATTATGCAGACCAGATGCAAGAAATCTCAATGTTCTGATGTAGCTCAAAAGTGCCCCCTAGAGCATCTAAATGGCATCAGACAAGGATACCTGAAGAGTTAAGGTAATGTAACTTCTTCCTTGTCAATAAGCAGATTTTTTTTTAATGCACTGACTGGTCCAAACTTGCTGGCTATTTTGAGACAAAAGGTTAAGATCATTTGGAAGGTGATTCCGTAATATTCTGATTTGCTAGCTAGCGCACTAACATCAGAAATAGAGGCTGTCACGTTACTGGATGAACAATAATTAGTCTCCACTAAGGAACCAGCTTTTAAGAAACTCAGATTGTATTCACATCTTGCAGAATCTTCCACATAGCATGTAGTTGAAGATATGATGTTGTCTCTCAGACCAACCTAAGTGTAATGTATTCTACACTTGTTGTAGAATCCAAGAATCTACTCAAGCAAGTAAAATTTAAAAGGATTAGACTTATTTTATTTAGGATTTTCTGTGTAACAGATAGTTTCCCCTTGTGTTATCCCTCCCCCACCTCCGCCCTTGTCAATATAAACCTGTCCTTATATCTGGAAATTTTGCTGCATTATTTTCAATGAGAATTCATAGACACATAGAAATAGAGTGAGTCAGAAGGTACATCCTGGGCCATCTAGGCTGAAGCCCGGCTTCAGCTGGCTCCACTCATGACACACCTATTATTCTCACTGTACTCTTTCCTAAGTGAAGGAATGTATAGGAATCCCTATGTGCCATGTTGTTGTCATTAGCCGCAAAGTCATGTCCGACCCATCGCGATCCCATGGACAACATTCCTCCAGGCCTTCCTGTTCTCCACCATCCCCTGGAGTCCACTTAAGCTCATGCCGACTGCTTCAGTGACTCCATCTAGCCACCTCGTTCTCTGCCGTCCCCTTCTTCTTTTGCCGTCAATTGTTCCCAGCAATGGCTCTTCTCCAGTGAGTCCTTCCTTTTCATTAGGTGGCCAAAGTATTTGAGTTTCATCTTCACTAACTGGCCTTCTAAAGAGCAGCCAGGGTTGATCTCCTCTAGGACTGACTGGTTTGATCGCCTTGCAGTCCAAGGGACTCGCAGGAGTCTTCTCCAGCACCACAATGCAAAGGCCTCAATTGCTCAGTGCTCAGCCTTCCTTATGGTCCAACTTTCACAGCTATACATTGCAACTGGGAAAACCATTGCCTTGATTATATGCACTTTTTTTGGCAGGGTGATGCCTCTGCTTTTTAGTATGCTGTCTAGATTTGCCATAGCTTTCCTCCCAAGGAACAAATGTCTTTTAATTTCTTGGCTGCAGTCCCCGTCTGCTGTGATGCTGGAACCCAGGAAAATAAAATCTGTCACTACCTCCATTTCTTCCCAATCTATTTGCCAGGAAGTGAGAGGACCGGATGCCATGATCTTAGTTTTCTTAATGTTGAGTTTCAAGCCAACTTTTGCACTCTCCTCCTTCACCCACATCAAGAGGCTGTTTGGTTCCTCTTCACTTTCTGCCATTACAGTGATACCATCTGCATATCTGAGGTTGTTGATATTTCTCCTGGCTATCTTAACTCCAACTGGTGATTCTTCTAGCCCCGCCTTTCTCATGATGTGCTCTGCATATAAGTTAAATAGGCAGGGTGACAGTACACAGCCTTGCCGAACTCTTTTCTCAATTTTGAACCAATCAGTGGTTACATGTCCAGTTCTCACTGTTGCTTCTTGACCTGCATATAGGTTTCTCAAGAGACAAATAAGATGGTCTGATACTCCCATCTCTTTAAGAACCTGCCACAATCCCTATGTGCCTACTCACCCCTTAAGATCTGGGGCAGAGGTCCTTCTTCCAGAGCCCTCCTTAAAGATTATTGGGGTGGCTAACTGGAGAAAGACCTTCTCGGTGGCACCCTGGTTATGGGATGTACTCCCAAGAGAGGTTTACCTGGTTCTGACTCTTCATTCCTTTCGGCGCCAGGCTAAAACCTTTTTTATTTTCCTATTATTTTAAGATTTGACTAGGTTTTAATATGGATTTTATTTTATTGAAATTATTTGGATGCTGTGCTTCATTTCATTTCATTCTGTTTTTATTGTAAGAATGTCCTGAGACTTTAATAGTTGGATGGTAGCTAAAAGCTTTAAATAAATAAATAAATTCTTAGGTTTTTCCAAAAGGTTGGCTGAATTGCATGTCTCTGGACTTTGGGCAAGACAATTCCAAAGCACCTTAATTTTTAATTTCCAGGGGTTGGCCTGAAGAAAACAGTCCTTGGTAAAATGGTTCAGAAACTCTCCAAGCATCTGAACAGACTAGGCTGTGTCAGGAAGTCAATTCTGACTTAATGCATTCTTGTAGGATCCCTTGTGAAGAAGGGGTCCACCAGTAGGAAAGTCATCCCACTTCTCAGTCTGTAACACCTGGTCTTAAAGTTTTATAGGTACCCTAAAAGGCATATTAGTTAAATGGAAGAAACTTCACATTATAAAAGTGTTTTATGAAATGTTATGAAAAATCATGTATTACATTGCATTTGTCTTCATGATAATATACTTACTACTTTTAGACATGGGAACATGTTGGACATAGGCAGCTGAGCCATCTTCTAGCTGAATCACCTGCCCATCCATTAATTTGCCATCTGAAATACATGCATATTGAAAAATTAAGAAACCATTGATTCAGTCAAGTTTGAATGATCCGTCTGTAGATCTACTCCTGGACTGGGTCCCCTGCATACAAAAGTAATCTTTGAAGGTAACACTCTAGGCAAGACCTCTGCATCTACCATCTGCAATGTGTGGGCTATTCCTTTTGCTGGTTTGGAACCATGCACATAAAGTCACATAGATGATGTACATTCTATCAAATCACTGGTTAAGGGGAGTGAGGAGACTGAATGCACGTGCTTACTCAATCTCCTACACTCCAGAGACATGAACTGAAACCACTGAGCATACAATCTGAAAGAGATTATAGCAGGCAGCAACTTTAATGCAACTTTGTTGATACATGTGAAGAAATCTGCATTGGGGCCCATAAGTATAGCTCAGAAAGGAAGTTATGTCAAATTAGTCTTATACCTGTGTTTCAATAAATAACTAAATCTCATTGTAGGCCAAATAAGATAGGGTTCAGGAGACATATTACCCTGTTAATGACTTCATCATCAACCAAAGTAGGATGTGAGTGCAAATTGCACTGGCACAACAGTATTATATACAATCTCCCATAGTTGCATTTCAGTAAACCTAACACAGAAAAAAGGCTGGGACACTTCTCATATAGCATCTCTTTATTAGCCCAGATCACAAGGAGATTTTGTTAAATCTAATTCTTTCAGGATTGCACTCCATATTTCACTTTAAACAATAGCTGTTACTTGATTCAAATTAAATAAGAATAGCATAGTTATTTAAAACAAATGCTGAGCAAGGTATCAACATAAAGGGCCTAGAAATACCTGAATTAAAACAACTGAGAAATGTCGGGTTAGGGTGTGTTTGATCCTAAACCTGTAACATTATAAGTCTCTGCATATACCACAATAGCTAAAGTCCCATTCTATACAATTCAAACTAGGAAGTCTTGCCTTTTAAAATACTGTATTACCCTACTTTTAAATAGTTATATGTCAGTACAAGTTCTTGCTAGTGCTAGATGTCTATCCTTGTGTTCTCATTACACACGCTCTTTGCAGTTTTCTTCTATTAAAACTCCCCTTGCATTGCACTCCTTCACCAATAATTTTTTTTCATGAACAAACCTAACACAATAATTACTTCTATCTTGATTGAGAGTGACGCTTGCTTTCAGTCTCCTACAATTTCTCGATAAAGAATAGGTCTGAGCTTTATAGGACTTAATTCCAGATAGGTATGAACAGAACCATAGCCTAAGCCATTCTAAAGGCAAGTTAGGCATGGTTAATCGGTTTAACTCTAGTATGCACACAGTTAAACTAATTAAACCATAAGAAGGGAACTGCCAACTCCTGGGCCAGATCTGGCCTACATGGCTTTCATTCCTATTCCATGGCCTTTCTTCCTTAGCTCCATCCTTAGCATAGCAATTCCACTGGAGCTAAAGGGAGCTTCTTGACCCACCTGACCCCACCACAAGTTCAACTGCCAAGCTATAGAGAAGAGGAGCTATATGCATTTATATAGGTGTATTTTTTCTGATGGTTATTTGTGGGATAATGAAACTATGGTGCTAGAGGAGAACTTGGTGAATATCCTGGACCAACAGAAAGATCAACAAGTGGGTCTTAGATCAAGTCAAACCAGAGCTTTCTCTTAAGTTGGCAGAGTATGCAGTGATGGCTAAATTAACTAATTATGGAAACAGAAGACTGACTGAAGAGTTTAATGATAAATGGAAATTCTATTATATGTAGTTTAATTACTATAGAACAAAAGGGAGCTTGTTAACATGTTGCCGATTATTTATAATCGATTCAAAGTGAGTGGAAAATTTCTTGGTTTGGAGAACTATATTTATTTTTTTCTGTGAGCTTCAACAAAGTACTAATTTCCAGAAAGATAGTAATTTTGGGGGAGGTTAAGAGTTTTCAGGTTATTAATGCATATGCTATATTTGTGTAAGATCCCTTGGCATTCTTTTTTTCACATTTTTCTTCCTTCTGTACTTCAAGAAAAAACAAAAACAGAGCTTTCCCTTGAGGCAAAAATGACAAAACAGACTGTCGTAAGCTGAACATATCATGAAAAGGCAAGACTTACTAGAGAAGACAATTGTGCTAGGGAAAGTTGAAAGCAGAAGACAAAAAGACCAAATAAGATATGGATTCACTTCATAAAGGATGCCACAGCAGGGATATCACTGATAGGGCATTTTAGAGAGCTTTCATTCACAGGGCTGCCATAACTTGAAGATAACTTGACAGCACATAACAATGATGACAAAAACATGCACTGTAGAGCTATGCACAATCTACCTTCAATTTCCAACAATAAACCACCTATGTCATATTCATAGATTGTTTCCATGTGGCACAAACTGAGCAATCCCAAGTTAACCCAAGAACAAACTCTGGATTTAATTTACTCTGAACTGCCACCAAACACGCCCATTATATCAGAACAGAGTTAATGAATCAGGAGCTGATTTCTTTTGAGGTTGTTTGGTTGTTGTTGTTAATTCAATACTGTTTATATGCAGAGCAGCTATTCAACTTTTCCATTACTGTGAACACAGGGTTGGTGTTTGCTCTGAATTAATGAATATAGAGTAAAAGTGTTTGATCTTCTGCCCAAGCCTTTATTGACAAACCAATATAATTTAGCTTTGTAAACTTACCTTGGTATGAAAAGACAAAGCAGTTTGTTTTCAGTTAGATAAACTATTCTAGTCATTGTATAGTCTAAATACCTTTAGAATTATGTTGTATGTAAGCAGTGGAACCATCAGAAAGTGTAACTGCTTGTAAGCTTACTCCTTCCATGTTGTCCAAGTTGTCCCCATCTAACAAAACAAAACAAAACATTTAAGATTGCTCTATGATTGTAATACATAACCTGAATTTCATTCTTAAACTTTTATGAAGATCCTCTAGATACAGAAGGAAAATGATCTAACCATTTTGGTATGGATTCTGATTAACTTCTATGGTGCATTTCAACACTCAAAATGTCACTATATGTTTTATTAAGTTCACAAAGATATCCATTTTGTCACACTGACTGGCAACGGATATTAGCCTGATTACTCACCTTGCACAGCTACAGCTTCTGTTAAGCAGAGAGTTACATGTTGAGCCTCCATCCCCCCTCCGGAAAACTCTGTCATTCCCTGAGAGTCTCGATTTATCTGGGCTAATAACATTGTCTACCTAAACGTAAAAGAGAATTTACATAATTTATTAGAAGTAAGTTCAGGATAATATTCCTCACACCAAGTTTTTAACAGTATTTCTCACACCAAGAAATATTTCTGATGAACCTTTGTTTCGAAGAGAGTTTGCCAATTCTGGTAATCATGAGTCTCATACTTGAGGGTGTGGGGACATGCAGAAACTTGAAATCATAAACGTTGCTAAAATGTAGGAATGTTATTTCTAGTCTTCACAAATGTGTAGTCCTAATCATTTTCAAAGATTTCAGTTCTATAAAGTGTGATTGCAGCATTTTAAAGGTTCAGAAGTGTGTGTATGCATGAATAAATAAATGTAATAAAATTAATGTGACAAAAGCTGAGACTGGCAATCCCAAACACATTGTGTAGCAGACAAACTAGAAGTGTCTTGTATGAAGTGCTCATATACCACAAAGAAAGGGGGGGGGGCGGGATTTAAAGGTTCTTGTAAATTGTATTTTTGTACAATTCTTGTATTTTCTGTGAATCAATAGTTCTGGAAAAAGGCCATTCTACTATATTTCTGGGTTGACACTGGCTAAATTGTTGGGGGACAGTAATCTCATCATCCAAGTTAGCTGTGTAGACCTTCTGCTCCTGCTTACATAGCTAAAAAAATGAAAATAACTACCACAAATTGGCAAGAAAAAGCACTTTCTGATGAGGTAGGCACTAATCTAGAGCCCTAATGGAGGCAAAGAAAAATCACTTATGCCCTATCCTATTTCTAGAACATTAAACCCAGTAAATCTTGACCTTGTGCAGTAAGGTGTTGGGCATACATTGGCACACAAATAGATCTGTATGTCCAAGTATGATGTAGAGTCAATGACTAACTGTTGCATCAGTAAAAATGGTAAGTCAAGAAAGGCTGGATGTCATTAATTTCTTAAAAGTAGAAAGCACACGCTGTGCTGAGAGTCTGAGAAACTACTAGAACTGTTAACACAGTCCTTGATCTAAGCCTCAAGCACAAGATGGCCATTATCCCTTCAGAAAAACAACTGTACTGATTCTCAATTGTATGACTGAATGGGAGGACCTTAATCATTAGTATAATTTGAGCGTGAAAGAAGCAGTAAGCTCTCTTCTCTTTCTTCATCAACTGAGCTAATATTACCTGAACTTAAATCAGGAACTTTGGGACATAAATCACATTAACCAGGCACTAACTTCAAAAAGCAGGCCAGGGCAGTGTCCTAGCGATATAGTCCCATCTCATCATTTCCAAATGGAAAAAAAGGTATGAGGTGTATTGCACATGCCAACCCTGACCTGTCTTTGGGAAAAAATACCCTGAATTTTTCAAGATCTGAGCAACTTGGGGGTGTGGGGGGGTTGATTGAAAAAAAAATACAATTCTTTTATAATAAGCTATTTATAGCAGGTTTTTGAAATGTTGCCTCTGTTCAATTGTATTTGAATAAAAGCACCTTGAATTGTGTGCTGATATGCCTGTGCAAACCCCAGAACAATAGTGTAACTGACTCTAAAGCACACTGTCCTATATTAACTATAATGCTGATTACTAGGGACCCCAAACATGGAGATCCCTGCTATGGTTGCCTACCTCAGAATATGCTTAGGTGAAAACATCCATCTATCATTCAGCACCAGGCTTTTTTGGAATTTCCCATAAAGCAACAAATTGCTATCTCATCCCAAATAATGTTCCAATTTCAAGCTAAAGGAAGTTTAGAGGAGTAGCAGCTTAGCCAGGAAGATGAACTGAATACACTCTTTTTGAGGAAGATTTTAGAAAGGGAAGAATGAGGAAGGCAGTATAGTTCTGCTTGCTCATTTCTGTATGCAGATCTGTTCCTTGATCTGGAACAGAAAGCCTGAAAATAAGATTCAGCCTAAGTCCTTCCCTGCATTCTCTTTTAATCAGGCCCTGTAATAGCAGAACACTATTATAAGGCATGCTACAATCCGCATTATCTATAATTTGTAATTTTCTGAGAAACACATAAGAGCGCAATAAAGTACGCAATTTTCAAGTTTAAAAATAGCCAGATTTGAATCTGAAAGAAAAGATTACTGTTGTAAGTGATAAAGCATTCTTCTTGGATCCTGTGCAGCTTTAATTATTAAGCATCACTATTAAGAGCAGGAAAGAACTGCAAAGGTGTAAACTTGAAACAATGGGAGACAAAACCATGTGTCTTTTTAAATAAAGGCTATTAGTACTTTCCACGGATAACAAATTCAAACATTATAATGTTCAATTTGCTGAGGCTAATTAGCTTTAGTCATTTTATCTGTATTTGGTACACAGCTAGATACAGAAAGACCCAATATTGCAGCATGTCAAAAACAATCCAGAGTACAGATTGGGTATGGGTTGTCATTGAATCATAGGTTATTGTTATGCACAAACGCTGCACCATCACTTAACTATGGGTTAGGATTAGCCAAAGAACCCAGGGTTCACAACCCAGCAACAAATCATAAATTCTCTTCCTGGGTTGTTCATCATCAGCAGATCAGTCAAATCACAGTGCAGTGTTTGCATGTAAGAATAAACCACTATAACCCATGAGTCAACCAATACCCATGTTATGTAAGAGGTAATTGGCATGGTCTCATTCAACAATTTCTAATGTCTGCTGAGCAGACATAATCATATAGCACCACTTTAGTGACAATAAAGCCAGTGTGCTGTATTGGTGAGACCACTGGGCTGGGACTCAGAAGTTCAGGGCTCTCTAGTTCCCACTCAGACATGAAACTCACCAAGCAATTTTGATTCAGTTACTGCCAGCCTAATCTACCTTGCAGGGTTGTTGTGAGGATAAAATCATATAATCACCTTAAATTGCTAGTTAGAGAAAGAAGGTGGGTTATAAATGCAATAAAATAAGGTAACTATGATCCCTATTTTCAGAGATAGAAAACTCTGAAGAACAGTAAATTCGATTTAGATGTAGACTCATTTAACCGTGCTGTTGGAAATAGAATTCCCACTCCCACAACAGTCCTGCACACACATACCCCAAAATACTATGCAGAGCATCAGGGACCATGTGGAACAGGTCAGATTATTGTGCAGGAAATCTTCCAAACAGGTGGAAGCACTTTCCGTCCATAAGTAGAGTTCTATTTACAAAAAGCACTTCTGCCTGATTTTCAGGGATCTGCTGATTCCTGCTTGCACCACAGGCGAAAACATTCAGCAGGCTCTCCAGTACTCTGCCATGGTGACAATGGGGGAAGCAATTTCAGTTCTGCTACTCTAACTGCACTACCAATCCAGACCTAATGCAATTTAGATCCAGTCCAGAAAGGACTAAATCCATTCAGCAATTCCTTGGATTTTTATTGCAGGTAGAAGTCTAATAGCAGAGCAAGGATCATTAATGGACACACAATCCCTTACTGAAATTTCCCCCATCTCTATTTATATGTGCACATTGAAGTATTCAAAGGAACTGCATCCTTTTCTCCCCAGTACTCTGCACAGCGTTCACATGCTTCTCCTAGCTAGTGGTGGTGAGTTAGTACTATCAATGTGCCTAATAAACAGGAGAATATTATTACTAGCCTATCAATGATCAGTACAAATACTGATTTACAACTTCACGATAGACTTTCAATATGACTTTCTGCATCCAGTTGAACCTGTGATTACCTAATCTCAAAGGGATCATTCAACTTGAAGCAGCTTCTTGTTAGAAATTTGGAAATGTTTCTAATTAAGTAGAATCAAAATCCGAAAATACATTTTGGTAGCACTAAGCAGAAGCAGGCAAAAAAGACACTAATGAAGCACCCTTTATACAAATCTAAATTAGACTTTTGAAAATCAATTATGCAACTTTTTAATCACTCAGTAACAGCACTTATGAATTCTTCGAAAGAATATGAGAAAGGAGTGACTCAATACTTTTACTGGGCTATTGTTTAAAATACACAAAAAGACTTTTCTGAATTTGCTTATATCATATAATGGAATAAAGAGATGAAATCACAGGAAGTTGAAAAATGTATTTTATTCCAAGGATCAGCCCTATAGTGTTTTCACTGTTAACTAGCTGGTTTTTAATCTGTAATATGTCCATCAACCACACTTTTTTGTTATGGTGTGGGTGATGAATACTGAATTTTATATACTTCATAAAAGCAAATTTCTACCTTTGAAGCATAAGAAATATTAGCTGCTCGATTAACAAGTACAAATAAATATTCGTAATGAAAGAACAGAGTAAATTGTAGAGTTAAGAGGGCATAACATCAGACTGTAAAATCACCCAGGTGGGTTCAGTACATTATTCTGGTGAGAAATAGAATGGCATGTATTGGAACCATAGGATGAATCCTTATGGTCTTGTGACTTCTCCATGCCTCTGCATATTCACCCAGTGGAACTTACTTCCAAATGGACAAGTGCAGGATTGTGCTTCTAACGTCAGGACTGAATTCCATTGCATTCAGGAGGGCTTAGTCCCCAGTAAGTGGGTACATGATTGCAGCCCACTTGTACTTTTCTAAAGGCTCAGATCCCTTAGTTTTCCTCATAAATTGAATTTCATCAAACAAAAAGGTAGGTAGGTCTGAAAATACTCTATGCAATCTTAATTACAAAAATTTGCCTTTGGGAAGCTCTGTTAACAAAACAATTAGCTTTATTTAATGGAAATATCTGCCTATGAATCAAAGGTAAGCCCCAGGTCTGATAGATATTATTACTGAATTTATAATACTCATCAGGTTCTGGGTAGATAAATAAAAGGAATATTGGTAAGTCACTAAATGCTAAACATCATTCTTGCACTTTAAAAAGAGAGCCCAAGCAAAGTAAGATACCCTTTCAAGGTAACACCAGATGCTTGTTTTGATACACTTAAACTGCAGTCATTCAGCCAGAAAACAAGTCCTTCAACTCCCAGCATGCCCCAGCCAGTCTGCCTGCCTCAGGCATACTGGGAGTTGTAGGACTTTTTTTCCCCCTGTTTAAACATGCAAAGGACTGCACCCTTAAGCACTTTGACATTTTTATTTATGTCAGAATAAAATCACTATCCCTTTAAAGAGATGTGTAGTACAGTTCAAAGAGATAACAAGAGGAATGCATTCTTAATGTACCTGAGAACCTTTTTGAATGACAGCTTTTTCTTATATCAAAAAAGAGAACAGTGACTTGTAGAGATTTCTGAGTTCATACTTACATTCTATACTTCGTCAGTCTGGGCTGGATTTAAAAGGAATGGCATCAATTTTGTGTATTTAAACACAGATCTGACCAAACTATTTAGAAATCAATATTTAACAGCAAAACAGGATTGTGACTGATGCTGACCCCTACCTGCTGCTTACCCTTTCGTAGGTTCTTTTTGTCCATTCAAGGTCACCCAGCTGAGAAAAACAGGTTCAGAAAAGAAGCTACAGACAATGAAAGTGCTCTGCACTCTGCATTTGCTATTAAAATCAGAAACCTCCTCAGCCTTCATTACTAAGGTAGTTCATATGTAATTTGTCATTTGATTTAAGGGTTATGTCACTTATCAGTCCTGATCATTGGAAATGTTTAACATTGGAGAGTAGTTCTTCAGTTAGAGACTTTCCTGATAATAGACAAAACATTCCTCTAATCGTAAACACTAAAGCACTAGTACAAGCAAACTGAATTATTTTTAAATGGTTGTCATATTGTTAATACAAGTATTTAATCCTTTCTAGAAAACAAAAGTATAGAAAATAGGTATAGAAAACCTAAAGAAAGTAATTAGGCAATCTAAAATACAGGATTTAATAAATAAATGTTTAATAGATATAATAATACATCCAGAATTTGTATGAGTGGAATTTCACCCACATGTCACTCCTGCAGATATAAGGAAGCTTCCATTTCAGCCCATAATGACAGCTAGGTATTGTGGGAGCAGTAGTTAAGAATAGAGTTTTCCAATTGAAAATCTTAATGCTTCAAAATGATATACTGCTGTGTCATCAGCATATCCTTTTCAAATTAGCCTCGTCTGTTATTTTATGACAACGGACATAGGACACAATGGCTTAGTTTGCACAATCATTGCAGGCTAAACAAGCCATGGTAGTTTAAGCCACAGCAGGTGCCAGGCACAAGTTGCATAACCTCCCACCAAGGCATTACTTGAACTGTTATCCAACCCAATCAGCATGGCTTGAAGGAGAAACACCTCACAGAACCCGAGCAATGTTGGTAGGGAAAACAACCTTCAACCCAACAAGGTTTGCTGCCCAGGTTTGGTCAACAAAGCCACAGCAGGGTAGGTGATGGTTGACCACATTTGCCATGTGACAATTTGAACGAGCCACCAGATTCTGTAAAAAGAAGGTGCAAACCATGTCAATATAAGGAGTTCCACAAGCTTATAAATCCACTGAAATAGTAAAATTAGTGCGCACCTATGACTGCAATCTTGTACAGTTACTTGCGTCTTCCCAGAATACATCCACCTTTGCTGGATAGTGGTAATACAATATAAACATACAACAAAAATAGAAAACCTTCTGTCCTCATAATTTATCCTTGCCATAAGTGAACCATTTTAACCACAGAAACTGAACAAAAAGCAGTGGATGGCAAGCACCACTTCAGATGTATTCCATCTTCTCTATTCCAAGATGGAGCCTGTTGTGATACAGGCATGCACAAATGAACCAAATAATCTATTATCTTTTCAGCAATTGATCTCGAATCTTCATTGATTAGTTTTGCTAATTAATACGATTTAGTCAGTGAATATTGGTTGATACTTGGTTTAATTGGTTGACAGTCAACTGAATGATAATCGACCACAGAAGAAATCGTATCAAAACTTACTGGGGAATTCTATGGGTTCTCTTCCCTCTCCACCACCCACCCCGACCATGTGTACTCTTGCAAAAACTGCTCCACACTGAGGGATACGGCGTGTAAATCCACCACGAGTAGGACCCATGTGGCGTTTTGGTATGATAAATCCATCTGCCTGGTGCTCCTGTCGGAGAGGGGGCTGGGGGGACAGAAATATCACCGGCGGCAGCATTGATACGAATCTTTGATATCACCACTAGCCGTAGCAGGACGAGCCCCATCCAGTGACGCAGCCTCTAAAATGAACGCTCTCCCAGTCCCACACCCTTGAAAGTCGGTGATCCGCTTCGATCAGCCTGTCCTATACCTCGAATACTCCGAACTATCAGTTTATTATTTTTTTTGTGGTAGTTGTCATTCTGGAGACAAATGCATCAGAAAAAAAAAGGCGGGAACCGCTGAGGCCTAAGACGGAATATGGAGGAAAAGGGGAGGGGGAACACACAGCCGGGCGGTGGCAGCGACGCCTCGGCTTTATTATTAATATGAGCCACGATACTAGCGCGGCTCTTTCCTTTTCCCTCACTTTACCCTCCATTTAACATCGCCACCGAGGGACTAGGCCAGGCCGAGCCCGGGAGTGAAACGTCCCAGCCGGAGATGGCGGCGCTTAGAATAAGGCACACTGGGTAAAAACACATTTATATACGAACCTCGCCGAGAAATTTTCCAACAATTCCTCCGTCCGACCACCATGCACCAGGACAGGAAACGGCCGTCTCAGCTCCCGCCCGCCTACCCCAGCACCTCCCAAAGTTGTGCAAGCAAGCCCCGCAACCAGCGCCTGCTTGAGACTCCATTGGACGGTCTACGACTCAAACTACCGCCCACAGCTCTCATTGGATCTCTCTGGCTCCTATCCCCCTATCTATTGGTTGTTAACCGACGTGTCCGCCTCCACGCTACAGCGACGCTATTTTATGCTAGGTTCGGGGCCTCTGCAAACGCCATTTTGTATCACGTCGGATGAGGCGCCTTTGCGTCAGTGAGGGGAAAAGGGATAGACGCCATTTTCCTTTTTTTTTCGCGAGGAGAGAAGGTAGTGAACCTAGGCAGGGTGCTGATCTGCCTAGTAGCTATGGTTTTAAGGGAAAGCTCCGCGGTTAGGCAGATATCTCTAGCTCGGAAGGCTAGCGGTGGAAAATAACTGCCGAGGGTTTTGACATAGGGTTTGGCTCGGACTCAAGATTTTACTTGCCTGGGAAAAGTGGGGGCTTTCTTTGCCACCACAGTGAAAGCAGAGGTCCTTTTCACGGGAGATTTAATTACACTCCTGTTAAGATGAGAACACCTCTTGCTCTCTTCCCACCAGGCATGTTTTAAGATCGATGCCGCATATTTTTGTGGTCAAGCTGATGTAGGTTCTGTATTGCTCTAACAGTTTTCTTCTGTTCTCCGTATACAGAAGATTCAGTGCAATCCTATGTGTGATAACAAAATTAAACGCCCCAGTGTTCAGTTGTTTATTCTCTAGTAAATGTACTTCGGATTGAGATTTGAGAATTCGGATTTGAGAACTTCATTCTCAAACTGGTTAGAAGGCTGGATTAGAAGGCATGGGTTAGAAACCCATGAGACAACCCAATTGACTACCGTTTCAGGTACAAACTGTTGGTTAGGTGAACTGAACCTCATTCGTTATTCCCAGTCCTCGATAACTATGTTGAAAAGCCCTAAAATGTGATTTTTGTAGGGCTTTCTACCCAAATGTATCTAAGAAATGCACAATTTGCTATTATGTGCTCTTCATTTACTACTTCCAAGGAGCTCAAGGCGATGCACACATTTCTTACCAGCACCTGTAAAATACTTAAGGTTGAGAGTAATTACCTATCCCAAAGGCACCAAGGGGGCTTCCTGGCCTGCTGGGGATTTGAACCTAGATCATCACCATCCTAACAAACGTAGTGAACATAAAATTTTCTAATTAATACGTTTTTGTTATCTTACTGACCATTCAGAATGTGTAACTGTCCAGACAGTTAAAAGAGTGCTGGGTGTTCAAACTGGAGCTATTCGATGAGAACTCTAATCCAATGAGTTATGGTTATTTAAACTCTCATGTTTCAGAAACCATTGCTTCATACAGAATTACTGCTATCATAGCATGTTTTCCTGACTTAGGTAAAGGATGGCACTTTTGATCTTCATGAACTATGCAGAAACACAACAGCTTTCTTTAAGGTTTCCATGCTGCACTATTGCTTGTTTTAATCCTGGAACTGCTTGCACATGGTTTCCACATTTCACTGTAAAGTTCTGCTGTAGGAGCAATCACAGCTGCTGCAGACATTTCTGTCTGCTGGTCACTGTCCAAATCTGCCTGGCAACTGCTGAGTTGTAAGCAGTAACCAGAGATTGGTTGCACTGTGCTCCCTTTCTGCCTTGCCAATGTGCACTTTTGGATGCCCAGCTGTGGTGATAGGATCTTGCAGGAAGTGGGGCATCATACTGCAACACTTCCAGCAGCAGTGATCACACTCCAAATCTGGTGGCTTTACTGGAGTGACACTTGGAAATGGCTGTTCATGCTGTTCTAGGAGCCAGTGAACTCCTGGAAGGTTGCCTTTCACAGGCATTGCCACTAGAGTGATTCCCCTGAAAAGCCCATGTTGTCCTCTTTTCCCTTCGCTCCTATCTTGTCCCTGACATTCCTATGTACTGGCAAAAAGCCCTGCTGTCTCCCACTCCCTGCCACAGCTGCAGACAAACACCTTCCTTGTGGCCAGGCAGAAGAGTATCCCTGGTGGATGCTCACATGTGGTCCCACAGGAAACTCTTCTCACAGCTCATTGTGCCTCAGTCCCCGCCATGTGTGGCTGTGCTGATGCCCTCCATGTGCCTGGGTGCTCCTGTCTGAACCCAGGACACAAGGTGAGATGCCATGCTGTTAATGTGTGGCATTACTTATGTGTGAATGCACCCATTATATGCCTATGAAAGATTTAGTCTGAAAAAATTCCACTGTACTCTCTTGACATATGGAAATTATTTCCCACCTCAAGAGCATTCATTTTGCATCCTAGTTAAGCAGAGGACTGCATGAAGCAGCTCTTACAGCTACCTGTCAAGTATCTCGGTATTTCAAAAGATACTGTGCGACAAATATTCTAGCATTGATTTCCTGAATAAAATACATAGTTCCCAAAAAATTATGAATGCATGTATGAGGCAGACCTCCTGAAAAGTAGCAACAATGCTACTATCACTCCAATTTTCAGTCTTTTAGAAAGAATCGTAACATTGGGCCTACAATGGAATGTTGCATTATGTAATAATCTTGTTTTGGTGCTTGGTAGTCAGCCATAACCTTTTCCAGAATAATTCCATTAGGCTTTCCTCTAGATTTTTAGTTTTCTTTGCCCCTAAACACCCAGCTTTGAGTTTGCCATGCTCATTGGACTTTTTTAAAGTGGGATACCTTACATTTGAGGTTCCCTACACACTTCTCTGTAGTGTGCAGATTGTACCCTTGTGGCTACATGAAGACCTTGAGTTCATTATTAGTATATTGTATGAAAGCAGTCACCACCTGTTTCCCCTGGAAAACATGCTTCATTTTAAACCTCTTTGTGAGCTCAGAAATAACTTCATCAGTGCAAGGTTGCAGAAGATGCTTGCCTTTCAAAATACTGGTCATTCTTGAGAAAGTAAGTGCATTGTTCATTCTCTAGTACAGCTTCTATATTTAAACGAGTCAGTATTGTAGGTGAAACATCCACTACTGTTTTCCTTTCAGGATTAGTTCTCGCATATCATAAATCAAGATGGTAAATCTGTTTCTGGTCTTATTCAAATTTTATATAGTGTCACATAATTTAATTTCTTGCATAAATATGCACACCTGTCTGAGATGCATGTGTCATCTTTTTAGTTTTGGCTTCAAAACATTGTTCAGAAAGGAACTCAACCCATTAGATTGTAAAGACCAGCGGTTATGTTTTGTGTGTGCATGCATGCATGTGTATATGGTGGCACCCCATCTATGGAATGCGCTCCCCAGAGAGGTCCGCCTGGCGCTGTCATTATTTGTTTTTCGGCGCCAGGCTAAGACCTTTTTATTTAAAACTTATTTTAATTGCTAAATTATTGTATTAATTAGGATTTTAAAATTTTTAGCCGAGAATGCACCAGGGGTTTTTTAATGTTTTTCTTTTAAATTGTTATTATTATTATTATTTATGTATGTTTTTATATATTCTTTGTGAACCGCCCCGAGGCTTTGTTGCGATGGGGGCAGCATAGAAATGTTTTAAATAAATAAATAAATAAATCTACATTTCAGTGAAATTACTTGAAAGTATTACCATTTAAGTATCTGTTAGCCATAAAATAGTTATAGTTTTATAACTGTCAGCAGTCACCACAAACTCTGTGATACTAAAGTGTGAGGCATATGTTAGCAGAAATAAAAGTTCTACACTTTTAATATCCATCAAAGCAAATTAATACTGGAACAACTAGCTAAAAATGGATTTAAGCATGTTTGATGTAAAGATAGTTTATGAGCTCTCAGTACTATAATTTAGGTTTGTAAT